TCTCTCTCTCTCCCTCTCTCCCCCTCTCTTTCCCTCTCTCACTCAGAGAGCCAGTGTCGGATCTTCTGCTTCTGTTCGTACGTCAGTCTCTGTGCCTGTGGGTCCAGCCTCACCACCCTGTCCTCGTCTACCACTGCCATCAGGTAGTCGGGCACGTGCCGACCTTGACCTTCTTCCAGGAGCACCATCACACTCTCAGGGTTCACAGGGCTCGGGGCTGCGGCACACAGCTGTCCGACCACAAAGGAAACAAAGAAACTTTGAGAGAAATTCTCATTGTAGACATTTTTACGACTACATCGACATGAAGAGAAATGAAGACTTAAGGGCAACGGTTCTTCCAAAATGTCAAAGAAGAACAATACAACGCGAGGTGTGCTGACAAAATGAGTCACTTCTCCCATTCCACAATTGGAGATATTGGCCAAAAATCGACACAAGGGTCAAATTTGTAGAATTTTTTTTATGAATGCCATTTTAACTATACTATATATTTTATTATTTCATACTAATAAATTATCAAAACTTTACCCATAAGAGTGATATATCTTTTTCCATTACACTAGAATCCGAGAAGTAACTCATTTTGTCAGCACGCTCGCTTCACCAAAGGTTTGGCCATATAGCCACGAAAGTCACCTAGTCCGCCAGCCTCGGCAGCCTGTATCACCGAGTACGCAAGCTATTATAAAGGATGAGGAAGGCCACGGAAAAGTTGGATTCTGGGAACCAGGAGAACCTTGTGAAGCTGTATTCATCTCAGTAGAAAGAGCTGCAGAGTTGGCCTACCATAGACAACTGTATCTCCCCTCAACGCCCAAGGGCAACAAAGGAAGGAGAAAGCAAAGTAAACAGAAGACAAATGCAAGAATACTTCATGGACATAAATCAAAAACCATCACGTAGAAATACCGACTCCTCTGGTGTAATGCTCAGGCTTTTTTCCCTTGCATGCCCAGGTCTTGAAGTCTCGAGAAGAAAAGTTTTGCTTAAAACAAAAACAAAAGTCGGGTATGTCCGTGTTTTTGCTGGGGCTGATGGGGTGTTGCATCTAACTCAGCCCAGTTTGGCCCCAACTGGCACGATTGAAACAGCCCGCCTCCTAAATGACCTACATTGTGTCAGCAGGAGCGTAAAACATTGACAGATTCAAAGTCCAATACAAGAAGATTGACATTTCACCTTCATGGTAAGGTGTGCCTTGCTGTAGTGCCTGAGGAAGTTGTCGGAAAGAAGCAGGATGAGGCGCCAGCTGTCCCCTACAGCATCTACGATCTGGTCGTCGAAGTAGCCGCCTCTGTTGTCGCGCTGGTGGATGTAGGTGCTCACGCCAAGCTCCTCCTCCAGGTGTCTGAAGCAAATATTCATGGAGGCTGGGAATGGGCCCGAAAAAATCGACCCTGAAACCGACCCCCACACCTCACCAACGACCCGTATCCCCTTTCCAAAAGAAAAAAAAAGAAAGGCCAAAAATCATAAACAAAACAAACCCTCAAAAACAATCAAATCAAAACTGGCTAAACATTTCTAAAAACAGAAATATAGCCATTGTGTACTCTATCAGGGTGGGTGGGGGCGTGTCATAAGCGTTTATGTACTCTATCAGGGTGGGTGGGGGCGTGTCATAAGCGTTTATGTACTCTATCAGGGTGGGTGGGGGCGTGTCATAAGCGTTTATGTACTCTATCAGGGTGGGTGGGGGCGTGTCATAAGCGTTTATGTACTCTATCAGGGTGGGTGGGGGCGTGTCATAAGCGTTTATGTACTCAAACAAATACAGCTGCTATTCTTCCTCAAATTTGCCCTGAAAGTCTATTGTGGTCTATCCATTGTGGTCTATCCATTGTGGTCTATCCATTGTGGTCTATCCATTGCGGGCTACAGAATCCACACTGCTCTGGGCACATCGTATTTCGTGCACAAACAAAAGATTTGAACAAGTAATGTCATGTGACTCCTTGCAGCCTTCTGATTGGCTGTCGGGTACGATTTTCAATAGATTGGGACCTAGAAAATCAAACAGTCGATTTGGAATGATTTGATCAAATTGTGCGACTACAGTAGCTCTTGCATGTCCATAAGGAAAATCTGCCAGCCCTCAAGTGTGTCCAACCAGGTCAAATGGGGAGTTGAGGGTGCGTTGTGCAGTGTGCACTGGGTGTCGACTTGGCTCACTCAAAGGTTGAAAGTATTCCCATCTCACCTGCGCAACACGTATCGAACAAACCGGAAGTCATCGTCAGCATACCCGATGAAAACATCGTTGCCATAGTCACGTGGTCCCTTCATCCGGAACCCCGGGGTCACCATTCGAAGTATGAAGACCTGAAAGGTTAGAGATGGACATTAGAAAAATTGTAAGGCATCGTGGTGAAATCAGGCGCTCGTCAAAATGATGAAAGAAACCAGAATTTCTCTGCCCGATTGACTATTTTTATCAAAGGTTTGTTTTCCTGCTCAACACTTTATACGTTCAATTAAGAACACTTTTTGGTGAGGATTTTATTTAAAAACCATGGATTAATAGACTCTCGAGCTATGGAAATTACCGAGCTTTGACGTCCTTTTTACGTCTTAAACCGGGTGACCCCCACCTGTTTCCATGACAACTATCTCGACTTCTGCTCAAGATAGATGGGAATTTCTTTCATCAAAAACAGGGCAAAGTATCAGGCTTTAAGTTGATACCAATAACTATATAAGTCCCAAAACTGACGAACGTCTGATCCCACAGCGCTGTGACACAAATATTCTTTATGGGCTGGAGGGGGGAGGGGAGGGGGGGGGTCAAGGGAGTGACTGTAAATGTTACGTGTTCTAAAGGATGTCTGTGTAAATGAAGTCTAGACGGGGATACCTGAAGAGCAGTCTTGAAGCGGCGGACCAGGTAGACCGAGAGAAAGCCGATGGTGATGCACGCAGCGAGAAACAAAGACGTGAGGAGAGCCTCCCGCCCCACACAGCGCCGCCATATTGCTTTGGCAGATTGCAGGTTTCCCAGTTTGGTCACAACTCCACGGTCGTTGATACAACGGTACTGTTCCGGGTCATCTAAGTTCACTAAAGTCGTGTGGAGCCAAACTGGAGGAACGGTAAACAGAGGCAAGGAAATGCATGGAATCCAAAGGTTCAAATTAAGATAATATTATTATTATTTAGAAGAAGAAGAAGAAGAAGAAGAAGAAGAAGAAGAAGAAGAAGAAGAAGAAG